TAATTAAATTAAATAAAGCAACATGGTAAAAAGATGAAAATGACTCGATTTTACTTTCAATTTCTTTTACATTCTCCAAGGTATTAACATTAACATTTTTCATAACTCCATGTAGGACGTTTCTGTGCATAAATGTAAGCACTGTGGCAGTAGATTAGTAATGCAATATTTAGAAAATTTACTCTTGTACTCTTGATACTCAAGTACTTTTAAAAACAAGTACTTTAGTACTTTTACTTAAGTAGACATCTGAATGTAGTACTTTTACTTGTACTTGAGTAAAATTTAGCAAGAGGTATCTGTACTTTTACTCAAGTAACAAAGCTCTGTACTCTGTCCGCCTCTGCTGGTTGATCATGTGATAATGACAACATGGTAAATGTTGTCATTACGAACTGTTCCTCTGAATTTGAACATTCCTTTCTGTACATGATTGGTTCTCCATGAGCTGTCCTTCTGACAGTTGAAGTTCATTTTACAAATTTCTTTGTCTTTTCCTTATACACAACATCTTTGTGATACTTATATTTGCTCATGTCTTTTTTATTTTCTTTATACGACACATTAATATGATATTGAATGTTTTTTGGAAGGCACATTTCCTTTTATTATACTTAGAAAAACAATATTGCTTGTGAAATACAAATATTTGCAGTCATGTCTGCCCGTCTTATTGAATTCTTTCTACACATGTAGGCTATAGTGTCTCAGGCAAATTACTGACTTTGCACATATCAAAGCAAACCTTCTTATCAACCTGTTGGACACATATTACAAGCTCAAAATTATTATTCTCACATTGTTTTAGAGCAGGGGTCTCCAACACGTCGCTCGCGAGCTACCAGTAGCTCGTGGCCTGATTGGTGGTAGCTCGTCAAGGGGCCGTTCACATATCGCGCTCACATATTTTGCGCGCTCAAGTTCGTTATTTCAAATGTAGGCGCGGCAAGCGCGCTCATAATTGAAGCGACGCGCTCATTTTTTACAGGCATGTTTGTACTTCGCGGTTGTCGACAACAAACCATAGCAAACCCACCGTAAGCTGTCACGAGACTATCTATGGTAGCCCATAAGGGATAAAAAAAAAAACACACACAAAAAAACGCGGCACACGCAACGACAGGCCGCACTAACATTAAACTTTAATGTCAAGTAGGGGGCCCCAACCGCGAGTTTGAGACCACTGCTTTATAGAACATACTTTTTTAGCAGTCGTGAAGTAATTACTTATTCAAAAACAGTAAGAGAGTATGTGATTTTGGACGCAGCCCTGTGTTTATCATCTGAGCCTCAGTGTACATATATGTGTCCATGTTCATATTCAGAGTGTGATGTATGTAGTTTCTACGACACTGTTTTGCAAATTATTTTTGCAACTGATTAATTAATACGCATCGGAATTAGTGTGCAAGGACGAATTTTAAGCATGACGATTACGAAAAAACAGGCTCATTTTTTATGCCTGTTAATTTCAAAATGGCGTCTGACTTGAGTAATGTCATTGCAAAATAAGAAGGTGCCATTAGGCTTTAGGATGACGATGAGAACTGAATGCCTTCAGGAACATGTTTGCATTTTCCACCAGTGTAGCGGCCAGTTTCACGAGATGCCGGATTGGACAGGAGACATAGTGGACAGTCTGTTTCGCTGAAGAAAGTGTGCTGGAGTTACATGATCTAAACATGCATGAGTTCCACATGAATTAGTTCACAAACCTTCAGTATTATGGAATGAGAAGTGGTCTCAAAGTGATTTTGCATGGTTCCCTGACAGGAATTTTTTTTTTTTTTTTTTTAAATATATCACTAAATTTTATGATTTGCATTGATCATTTCTGAGTAACCGATTGGTTAACATTCATCCTATTTATTCTAATAGATTGCACACTACAAAGCAAAGAAATCAAGTTCAGAAGAGAAACACAGTCTTGTTGTGTATATGATTAAGTTGAACAATCTCTGTTTTGCTGTGTTTTTGGGGGTGTCTGATGAGTGTGTTCAGATACATCTGCCATGAATATTGTGAATTATTCTGATGAAGTGCCCTTGTTGGGTTGGCAGGGCTTCTTGAAGTGATCGAGCGCCACGGGTTCTCATCACTCGCTGAAGAGCTCACTCGATGTTGTGATTTCAAGAGCCTTAAAATAAAGCTCATTCAGATAAAACATGCACGGATTTGGCCTAAGAGAGTGTGTACGCTATACACTCCAACGTTTAGATTTATAAAAACGGTTTTGACGTGCAAAAGTGCTTATCAGGACCTAAACTACTGTACGCACTTTTCCTTGTGGCAGAGTCGGAGAACTGCATGTACATGTGTGGAAATCTAATGCAATAATAATAAAATTACACAGTTCAAATATTTAGTATGCATACTTTGGTTCCAGACATGTCAATTATTTCGCTCATATAAAATGGCCTATAATGCAGAAATATATTTCACATTTCACATCATATGCATGTTTTTTGTGAGTGCGTTTGTTATTTGCACTTACATTTTCTCTGAATCACACGAACGCACATTTGATAAATGATCTTAGATTGAATGTAAGACGGTTAACATTTGATAAAAGAGGCCCTCCTCTCCGCTGGGATTTGTTTGATCCTCAGATGTGAAATCCTGGGAAAGGGTGTGATGAATATAACAATGAGGAATGTTATGAAATAAAGAGGGAAAACAAATAATAAATGTGTCTAGCTCAAGATTTTTGCATAAATTGGTGGGGGGTTTTCTTACTTTTTCTTCAAAATAATTACAAATTTAGGTTGCTCTTTATTTTACAGTATGTGTACTTCTATATACTTACCTAAGAAAGTACTGTTAATATAGGGAAACTACATGGGTTAAGGTTAGGTTTAGGTCTAGGTTCAAGGTTATTACCTTGTAATTACTATAATAAGTACATAGCATGGGGAAAAGGACTGTAAAATAAAGTGCTACCCAAAACTACTCTATAAAGCTATTCATCATAATGTACTTTACAGGCTGCAAATCATGTAAGAGTGTCATGGTGGATTTTAAATATACGCCTTTTCAAAACTTCGACACCAAACCTCCGGAAGTATCAAAATCCAGATCATTTACCAGGGTTATATCATGTGACAGTGTGGCATTATTTATGTCTTCATGACAACTGAGCATATTCAAAATCCCCACCCTATATTTTCAATACTATAATTATAGCTTTCCTGTAGCTCAAATAGTAGAGCGTTGGCGCTTGCAATGCCAAGGTCATGGGTTCGATTCCCAGGGAAACTGATAAGAATGTAAAATGTGTACCTTGAAATGCAATTTAAGTCGCTTTGGATAAAAGCGTCTGCCAAATGCATAAATGTAAAAAAAAAAAAAAAAAGAGTTTTTCCCATTTCCCATTCAGTTGCAGATTATTTCCAGTGGTGTAATATGAAGTAATGAGCATTTGAGGAAATGAAATGTGCCTAAACTGTCACGAAAACACCTTCTGGACTTCTTTCTTTTGATTGCGGACGCCCGGACATCTTTATAGGTTTTTATAAAATACACTCAGTAATGCTCAATCATGCAATTCAAATGCACAATACTACTACTACTATAGCAATAAAAGAGAGGCAGGAGGCAATGTTGTCGATTTTTACCATCTAAATGTTTTATTTGTGTTTTGTAATGACACTTTTTAAACCTCTATTTTCTCTTGCACTTGCTATCTTAGGAGATGCGTTGGAATTGTAAACAGTGAAAATGATAAAATACATTTCATGTAACTACTTACAAGCAGTGTCCGTCCAAAGCACAGGACGACCATACCTGCGCCACCCCGATTTATAACAATACAAGTCATTTTATAGCTTTAAGGTTCACATATTTACATAGGTCCAGCAACGCTTCATGATACGCCCACAAAACCTTGTGTGTTTTTATCTTTTTTAACCATTTTTTCTTAAGAATCATATATACATCCATTAACCCGGCTGCCTGCTGCCAGGGAAACACAGTTAGAATAATTGGTATACTAATGTAATCCTTACATTACCTGTAACTTACGATAATATTAATGCAGAGCTCAATCCATTGTCTTTTTCATACAAAAGGTAAACTTATCCATAAGACAAGTCCACAAATAAAAATAATAAACATATTGCACTTACATCAGGACAGCGGCTGACCTGGATCAAAGTGGAAAAGGGAAATTCAGCTGAGTGCAATGAACAAAGCAACCAGTGAAACTTATTAATAAATAACTACATTTTTGTACTGGTAAAACATGTCGTCTTTCTTATTAACAAATGAAGAAGGGACAGATCCTAACTGACCTTGTGCCCTATTAAATATCGAGTGCGTGATTAAACCTAAAGTCCGAAAAGTGAGGAGACAAAGGGTTAAATAAGTCTGGAAGCTTCATAGTTGAGTGCCGTAATATCCTGAGAATACTGTCTCTTTCATAATCCTAATATGTGTCGCTACAATGAATGGCTTATTGGCTTTACAGATCGCAGCTAAGCATGTTTTGTACAGTCTTCAGAGACCAACGACAGTCCATTTCAAGCCGGAGCCAAACGTTCGGTCCGTTCCTCCTTTGTACGTTTATCGGATTCAATCATATCTCGGAGTCGACGGACATGGAGGAAGGTTCACAGGAACACCAGCGAGCAGTAAGTGCATGATCATCGACGATTCTTACGTGCCATCCAGACGTTTCTCAGTGTCCAGGAAAGTCACGGTGAAATGGAGAACAAAGAGAGGTTGGTGCCGGATCAGGAGAGGAAGAGGTTAAACAGTACCCAGTTGTCAAAGTGTTTAAAGAGGCGATAGCGGCCTCGATAATCTCCAGTACACAAATTAAATAACATTCAAATGGGAATAACCAGCATTATTCAGCATGGTGTTGCCCCACTCGTCCAGCGCCATCTTTCCCCATTTGTAAACGACGCCTCGTGCATTTCTGTCTTTTTGCCACATTAACAGATAGAATGGCTGAATACAATGAAATGCTAAGTGAAAGAAACCTTGCGGATGCTACTTCTTATAGTGTCTCTCTCTCGGTGTCGTCTTAGGAGGAGGAGGATGTCGATGTGGTGCTTGGTTTCTTCTGGTTCACTAAGTCCACGTAGAGCTCCGAGCGCAGAAATCGAGCGTACGAGTCTTTCTCCATCAGGCCGTGTATCCTCCTCTGGGCCAGGTCGAAGCACGAGCGGTTGATGTCTTGCAAGTTCTCTTTAGTGTGTTCCCTGGTGTAGGAATCCAAATTCACCTGCGGGACGAAAAAAAATAGAGCCATTACTTTCAAGTCCACAGTCGCTTCAGTCAGAAATGCAGGTCTAAGCACAACTAATCTCTAAGCAACACACATTAGTGGTGTTTAATAGTTGAATCAGTGAACTGAATCGGGTGATTGATTCAATGACTCGCTCCTGAATGAGAACATATCGATCCATACATTTCCAATCACCGTCTATTTTCATTCTAATAAAATGTAATGTACATTCACGTCATTTTACTTTGTGCTTCACAGGTGAAACTCGAAAAATCTGAATGTCGTGCATAGGGTTGGGTACCGAAACTCGGTGCCAATAGGGAACCGGTTCCGACGTAAACAGTAGTAACCAGACCGAATAAGAACGAAAATTTCGGTGCCTGATTTCGGTGCCTAACTTCATTAGGCACACACGCACACGCACACACGCAAGGTCTCTCGCTCTCTCCCTCTCCGCCGTGCCCGTGCGTGTGCTACACAGTTTGGAGCACAGTTTCTTCTGTCTTGCATGCGCGCCCTTTCCCGCAAGGTTTGGCTGCATTTCACGTGTAAAATTACGTGTCAGAACGCCCTCTGGGTGTGCCGATAGTCTGAATCTTATATAGAATCAAGCCAATTCATTGGCTGATGGCGCGGGCGCTGCATCGACGCACTAACGTCGTCATATTATGTTGGCGCGCGCCGCCATCTGCTCCTCAGATTTCTCTGCCGAAAAAGGAAGCTGGTCGGCAGCGCGAGGAGCTTGGCAGCGTCCCGATATGTTACACCAGTAACCAGAGATGTTCTCTTTCATAGGTTCACTCAACGCTGCGTAGCTAAGAAGCATTGGATTTGTAGGCTGCTGTATCACGTGCCGTTTGAACTGACGCGCTACAGCGATCTGTCACATTTCAAAGAGCCAAAACGTTATTTATTGTGTGAATCTCGTAAAAATATTGTCAGAATCTGACAGCTGTGGATTTGTTCCATATCAAAAGTAACCTTCTCTGTCTTGTCTGTCAGTGTCCTCTTTGTCCGCGATTTTTCTGTGTGAAAAGGGTCATTTGCGTGAGTCTCACGGTCAATGCGTGAGAGTTGGCAGCTCTGCAATCTCCAGTATTATTACATTGTTTGATACAATATTGTTTCATTTGATATTATGTAAATATGAATTTTTATTTTATATTGGTTTTATTATTACCATATGTTACTTGTATTTATATTGTTTAAAGATTTAAGTTAATATTGTGTCCAGTTTGGCCCTGTAAATTAAAGGGTATTATTTTTTTATAAAGTGTGTGCGGTTTCATTTTCTTAAGTACCGATTTAAGAACCGTTTAAGCATCGGAACCGTTTAAAAAATACAGAGTAGGTACTGGAATCGGATAAAACCCAACCGATACCCAACCCTAGTCGTGCAAAAGTTCAGTTATGTCAGTAATTCAACTTAAATGTGAAACTAAGATTCATTACATGCAAAGTGAGATATTTCAAGCCTTTATTTGTTATAATTTGGATGATTATGGCTTACAGCTTATGAAAATCATAATCAAAGTCAAAATTAGAATAGAATAAAGGTTTTCTGTTAGCCATAATCATCAAAATTATAACAAATAAAGGCGTGAAATATCTCACTTTGCATGTAATGAATCTTAGTTTCACCTTTTAAGCCTTTATTTGTTATAATTTTGATGATTATGGCTTACAGAAAACCTTTATTCTATTCTAATTTTGACTTTGATTATGATTTTCATAAGCTGTAAGCCATAATCATCCAAATTATAACAAATAAAGGCTTGAAATATCTCACTTTGCATGTAATGAGTTTTAGTTTCACCTTTTAAGTTGAATTACTGACACAATACTGAAACTTTTGCATGATATTCTGATTTTTCGAGTTTCACCTGTATACTTTGGGCATTCATTTACAGAAAACTAGTTAAAACTGAAAATGCGAGTGTTTCTAATACAACGGCTGAGGGAGTGATGGCAAATTTGACATCTTTGTCTCTTTTGACCAACAGAATCAATCTCTTGATATTTTGGAAAGTCATAGAAACACTGTCATGGATTTTTTTGCGGGGGCAAATGGGAATGCAAAAACTTATATTTGTTGTAGTTCACCACTAAAGAAGTCTACCCAATTATGATGACTTCTGAGAGCCATGGAAATGTGAAAATGAACTGAATCCCTCATTAGAAACTTCCATGTAGGGGTTTTTGGAGTTAAACTCTGCAGGAAAGTTGCCCTCTGAAAAACATATTTTGGCTATAAATGACAAACTGCTGCTTCCAATACAATGTAACTGGATTTACGAAACATCTGGAAGTTGGCTGCACAATATTTTTTATAATCCACATTGAAACAAAATCATGTTTGCAATGACTATGAATAATCAGTTCACACTCAGATACTGTAAAATGAACATTCAAAGACTACTTTTTGGGTTTTCAAGAACTGCAATCAGAGATCTCCCTTATCAAACAATATCTTTATTATCGTTCAAATTCTATACTAATAAAACATTTGCTGTGGCAACTTTAAGTATGGGATCATTAACAAAGCCCTAGAACTTTCAGTGCATAGAATAGCTAATAGAAAGTGGGAAAAAACTTCTAACACGATACTTATTTAATCATTTTTTATTTATTTGAATTTTTATTTCGAGCAATATAGTGACATATAACACAGGCAATAAGAAGCATTTGATTTTCAACAACATAAATCAATCAATTGCTCGAAGTCGGACTTATTAAAAGATGTAATAAGAAAACAAGGATTTAATTTGTAAAATATAAATCATTTCATTGAAAATAATATTTTTGTTTACTCAAATTACAGATACAAGGTATCATATAAACAAATGACAACTTATTTAATCATATATATTCAATAAAAAGTATGTAAATGGCTATTATTGTTCAATAAATAATATTTTATATCATAATGTTGACGTACTTGGTATTGAGAAACGGTCTGATGGGGGTTTATCAACGACTTCAGGGCAGGTTACATGGTTACGCCAATAGGGGACTTTAAGGGTGTGTTAGTACATTAATTAAAAAAAATGCTGGAACGAAGAAAGGTTGTAAACAAGGGAATTATTGTAACTTTGAACAACACCTTATAAGGCGCAACGGTTCTGACGCTTCACTGAGATCAACGCATTGACAGGCACACGAATAACCATTAAAAGGATACTATGACAAAGATAACGATATTTCCTCATTCAAACTGGTTTTTTTCCCCTTGAATACATGATTGACCTGAAGAATAAAAAAGCTGTATCATATACTTGGAAATAAATGAGCAATATCAAGCTCATATCAGCCATATGTAAATTTTGCGTGAATGTACTTATTTATTTATTTTTTCAATAAAAAAGTAACTTTAATTTGGCAAGGGTTTCCAGGACGTCAATTGCAAGCACTTTAAGCACCTTGTACGAACCATTTGTGGATGTACAAAAATCTGATCATACGCAAGTCATGTAGACTTCAGTAGTAGTTTGTACTACATTTTCATTTACAGAAGCTCATGGAGATTGGCACACAACATAGACAGGCTTATTCACTTTTAAAAGGGAGAAGAAAACACTTCCCAAATCTTCTGTTGTTGATTGGTGATGTTTGATTATTGTGTTAGGTCATTTTAAAAATCCGGGTCCTGAAGCTAAAACCAGTTGAGAAAACTGATCTTTTTTATATAAACCTGCTCTTAAATGGCACATGAAAATCAAACCGTGGTTGGTTCCTTAAAGGGATAGTACACCCAAAAAATGTTGTCATTACCTACTCACCCTTAAAGGGATAGTTCACTTTGAAATAAATGTTTGGTATGTTTTAGCTTACCTCAAGGGCATCCAAGATGTAGGTGTCTTTGTTTCCGCAGAAGTTTCAATTTTGATATTTTTAGGTCAAACCGTTCTTGTCTGTCAGTCATATAATGCAGGTCTATGGTCACCACCTCAAAGAGCATGCACAGAGAAGTCCAAATTAAACATGATTTAATGACTCGTAAATGTAAGTACACATTGATGGCCTAAGACACGAAACGAGCGGTTTGTGTGAGAAAACGAACAGTATTTATATCGTTTTTACCTCTTGTAAACACAGCCACGTCCGAGTGATCTGAGGGCGCCGGCGCTTCGGTCTGTGCAAGCGCCGGAAGTGATCTCTCGCGCGTGTACGTCACTCATTGTTTACACAGGACAGAGATAGTAGGTAAGACGGCTAATTAAAATGGTACTAATTTGCGCTTATCCGGGATGTTTAAACCGTCGTAAAAGAAAACAATTAAAAAAAGAGAGATCACTTCCGGCGTTTGCCGGAAAAGACCGAAGCGCCGGCGCCCTCAGATCACTTGGACGTGGCTGTGTTTACAAGAGGTAAAAACGATATAAATACTGTTCGTTTTCTCACACAAACCGCTCGTTTCGTGTCTTAGGCCATCAATGTGTACTTACATTTACGAGTCATTAAATCATGTTTAATTTGGACTTCTCTGTGCATGCTCTTTGAGGTGGTGACCATAGACCTGCATTATATGACTGACAGACAAGAACGGTTTGACCTAAAAATATCAAAATTGAAACTACTGTGGAAACAAAGACACCTACATCTTGGATGCCCTTGAGGTAAGCTAAAACATACCAAAAATGAATTTCAAAGTGAACTATCCCTTTAACAGCACCCATTGACTTCCATATTAGGAAAAAAGTCAATTGGTGCTGTCGCCTGTCTTGTTACCAACATTCTTTCAAATATCTTCTTTCGTGTTCAACAGAAGAAAGAAACTCATACAGGTTTGAGTAAACCATGACAAAATTTCCGTTTTTAAGTGAACTATCCCTTTAACATTTCTATCCAGAATAAGCTGAAATCTGGACTGGCCTTCATGCTGGAAGCAGAGTGAATCTACACAAAGCTCAGCCTGATTTCCACAGCTGGAAAGTGCAGCAAGCTCCTGCTTCTCGTCTCATTTTGAGTTTCCAAACTCCTTTCCAAGTTTGGAAAATGAAAACATGCACTCAAACTGTCAGCTGTGTGTTGTGCGGCCAAGAGGGAGTCCATTAGTCAGGCATGACATCATATCCTCCATGGCTCTGACAAATGTTTTAGTTTCATGACACAATGCGGAGCATTTTAAGAGTATTTCCAGCCAAGCTGCTAAATAATACCGAATGGCATTGATACTTAACTGTTTCAATTCCCAGTTAGAACTTTAAACGTTGCAAATAAATGCGAGACGTCATGCTCACCTCTTTACAGGACTGGATGGCGATGAACTCGGCATAGATTTTCTTAGCTTTCGATGTCATCTTGGACTGGGATTTAATCTTCTTGTAATCCTCGCAGGCCAGCCAGAAATCCAGATTCTCTTCACTAAACTCTGTGCGCAGGAAAGCTCTGAACGCCGCCAGCCCATCTGAGGAGGGAGAGAAGAAACAGGCAGAAAGAGGGGAGATGTTATTGGATGGATAAACAGAGAGCCATGGCAACGGCAGCCTCCACGCGCGCCAACCCGTGAGTCAATACTAGCGCACTAACCAGTCCAGAACACGACTCGCACCAAGACTTCACTGCATTTGTTCTCATTCAAGACTCTCGCTGCTATGCCTTGGACGAAACATTATTCTCTTATTAATTCAACATTTCTTGCATTTCAGTGACAAATTCAAACCTCACGTTATTTGTGTTGCAACTAGAATGCAGTTTAAGCAACATTTTAAATCATCTTTTCCTAACCAGGGATGCCATTTCCAGTTTAAATCTCATTCGTTTTATGTGATTTACAGGTGAATTTCAATGCCTAAAACAAGTGAAAACAAATGTGCCAGTTCCACACTGCAAAAATGCTTTTCTTTCTTAGTATTTTTGTCTTGTTTCCAGTCCAAACATCAAAAAATTCTTGAATCAAGGTGTTTTTACTAGATGAGTCTTGTTTTCTGGGGAAATTAATCAAAATTAAGTGAGTTGTTGCTTAAAAAAGCTAAATATCTGCCAATGGGGTAAGAAAAATATTCTTAATTCAATTAATTCGATTATTTTTCTTACCACATTGGCAGATAATTTTGCTTGTTTTAAGCAAAAACTCACTTAATTTTGATTTATTTCCCCAAAAACGAGACATAATATCGTATGGCATTTTACTTCTTTAGTAAACGCATCTTGATTTACAATTTTTTTTATATTTGGACTGGAAACAAGACAAAAATACTAAGTAAGAAAGGCATGTTTTGCAACATTTAATGAAGGATGTGATTGTTTTTCCAGTGTATTACAGTAGCTGACATTTCCTTTCAGATCTCACCGCGGCCAGTATTAAAAGAGAAGGAAGTGTGGGTCCGTCCCAAAGCACGCAATCACCTTTCCGTTCCCATAAGAGCCTGCTGATAACAGCATGTGGATGCTCTCAGCCTTTCAAACGAGAGAAACATTCACTGCGGAAAAGCCCCAACGGTGTCTCACAAGCACTCTGAACCTCACAAACCAAGAGCTTGATCAGAAATGACATGATATGATATGGATGGTGGGCTTTTGCTGGAATGCATTAATCTGTGGTTATTCTCTGACTCCATACGGATATAGGACTCATCTGGGATTACTATGAAAGCCATTGAGCATGTTCAACAGAGCGTTCATTCAGTGACTCGGGAAGTCGAGAGGAAACACGAATGCCTAAAACAATGCAACAATGCAGCCGCCATCCCTGTGGATTCAAGCCAAGCCAAAGGAATTCAGCAAATACAACAAGCTCATTATATTACATCCACAGAAGCATAATGATAAAAGAAAATATGTCTTACATTTGTGGACGAGCAGCTTGTCCAACGATTCGCCCCACTTCATCGCCTCTTCTGGAGTGGGCCTGCAAATAAAGGCAGTACGGTTTTTAAGCAAACCCATCTCTGTCAGGTTTCTCATTGTATGACCCATTCGAAGCTGTGCCCTTCTCTCGCTCGAGTGTGTGTGTGTGTGTGTGAGCCTGAGCGTCTGAGTGAGTCTCTGTTGGACGGCCTCTTTTATATGTCTCTCTATGAAGAGGAGGAGCTGAACCAATAGGACGGCGTGTTAGACAGAGGCTCCGCCCACATCTTCTCTCAAAGACTCATTCTTGTCTTCAGCGTCTGTCTAAGCTCAGCTCTGCAGCCTTAACACTTACTATGACACCGCCTAATAAGGGAACGGTATCTAACAGGGAAGCATTATTCGAGATAAAATCATAAAGTGTGCTGAAGCAAAGGTCTGTGCTTTCCACCTGTGATCATTCTGACTTATACAACTTCTGTGCATTGATTTAATAAAATCTGTTCCATGCAACAACAATATTTTGCAGGTTATGCATAGCTGAACATACTTAAAATACTAACGCTATCGTGGATCAAAACATCTTTTGCAATGTTTAACCCTAACTCTTAACCCTGTGATGCATGACATCCACTACATTAGACATATCTTTGGAAGTCATTGTTTTTAGAGATACTATTATTGTTTTTGTTAATATTTTGAATTATATGTCAGTATTGGGTAACACTTTATTTTGAGGGTCCAGTTTAGACATTTTACTAACTTTAAGTAACTTTGTAACTAGCAGTCATTAGAATATTATACTCTAATATCTGCAAACACTTTATTTTGATGCTCCTCAACAGACATTATTGACTACAAGTAACTTACATGTAAACTTATTCTACTAAACCCGAACCTAACAGTCAAACACTGTTAGTGTTAGTGAGAGTTAGTTGACATAGTTGCAAAATGAGTTATAGTTAGTAGAATTATTTTAGTATTTGAAGTTAAAATGAATGAAAATGAGAAATGCTCCCTTGGCAACTAGCTGAAATAAAATAAAACATTTTCAATTATATTTTATTTCTGTTCTGGTATTCTCTGAACTTTATATTATTTATAGACTTTGATGACAGTGACATTAACTTTTTTGCTCACCTGCCACTGTGGCGAGTGGTTTTCCAAAGTCACTCAGCATTTTCACTGACCACAATTTTGACATTGATACTATGGGGAAAAACTGACATATAAAATATAAAATATGTAGATATTTTTAATATTAACTAATTTGGCATCAGGTAATAGGCTGCTGTCACTTTAAGACCTGACGCACGGATCCATTATACTGTTACACATGTGTTTTCTGTCTCAACTGTTTACATTCACTTAAAACATAACTGACTGTGTTTACGTAAATCCTCACCAAGAACGGCCTTTTGACACTATTTAGTGTGTATTTGACTGTTTAAGTGTGAAAAAAACTCAATGAGGCTTTATGTGGCGCATAAAAGCTGCGGGAATCAGTAAAATTATGCGCAATACACGCAATCCCACACCAAAATTCAACAACAACAATATCTGGAGCGAATGAAACGAGTAAATGAGGAGAGGCGGGTTTGTGTGTATTGGAAGCGTTTCAGATATTTCAGTATCGGTGTAAAAAAAATCGATATTTTTGACAACACTACATTGCACTTAGTTTATAATTTCAGATGTCATTTTACAAGACTACATTTGAAAAATGTATTTAAATTTCCACCCGCCAAAGTGTCTAGAAGGAGCGACTGCGTTACACACTGCTGAACTACACACACATTTGGCAGGTGTTAATGTCAAGCCCTGCTGGTAAAATATATCGTTAATATCACAAACAACATTTTCACTTCCAAATGTATTGATCTAAAAGACATCCTTTCAGTTAGTCTGTCTCTTTCATCCCACACACACGAGCAGAGAACCACCAGCTGGATCATTACCCAGCAAGCAGGCGGACACCACACACACACACACACACACTTACTTGATAGACTTCAAGGTTTTGTCGAGCTTGCCGACTGGGGTGCTTCCGGGAGACTCATTCCTCCTCCTCAGGAAAGCGAGTCGGTTCTTCATGTCTTTGGCC